GAGGAGTGGCTGGTGGGTTTGAACCGCCAGCCTTCTGATTAGCAGTCAAGTGCCTTAGGCACTACGCTACCAGAGGAATAGGATAGTGGATATCTAAGTGGGTAGTCAGTCCCCTTACTATGAACTTCCTTTGAAGATTAGTTTCTAAGACAGAGTAGCTAGGTCATTAAACTGAACATATGGCTTAGCCTTCCAATATATGTGGAAAATTTTAGAAGAAATGAGTGAAAGAGTCCCCAGGCCTCATCAGTTCCTTGTATTTTAGAATTAGACCTGTGGATGATTGTGAGAGCCATAGATTTGATTCCACAACATCTTAGCCAAAGCCCAAGGAAGGGAGCCAATAACTCTCAGAATACTACCTGATCAATAAGAGAGTGAAAGAGAGTCTTTGGACATCCTTAGTTTTAAAACTCAGCATGTGGGTATAGCATATATGTATTTCATGTGAAGGATCAAGGATATAGGAAGTGAGAGGATATCAAGGGATGAACAAGAGAACTAGCATGGAATTTTCTTTTATTTTTCCAGAGAGTGTTGGAAGGACATGTATTTGATGTGAATTGTTGCAGGTTTTTCCCATCAGGCCTCGTGGTTCTGAGTGGGGGAATGGATGCCCAGTTGAAGATCTGGTCAGCTGAAGATGCTAGCTGTGTGGTAACCTTCAAAGGTCACAAAGGAGGTATGAAGTATGATGGGTGATTTTCTCCCCAAAAGGCTTCTCTATAAGCCCCAGAGAAAAATCACCAAAAAATAAAAAACTAGTTACCCACAAAAACACAGAATTCTTCTAGCTATTATTTAGATGAGATACTTTTTCCCAAGGCATAGAAACTCCCTTGTTAGTCAGGTTTGTTATTTCTATTTAGAACTAACTGCATTACACAGTAGCTTTTTCTACAATTGATAAGGAAAAAAAAATATTCTGCCCAGGAGATGGATCATCTGTGTCTATGCTGGGGAGAAAAAAAAAAGTACGATCCTTCATTTTCTCATTATTAGCCCTTTGGCTGAAGTGAGAATAAAAGCTGAATGGCAAATAATTGCATCACTAGAATTAAGTGATAGAAGTTGGTACTGACTTTTGATTCTCATCGATTTAAATCTTAGATCAGAGTTTAAAAATGAATTAGCAATATAACCAGTTAATATCAAATAGTAGAGAACTGAGTGAGAGTGTCTTCTCTTTATAACTGATTGGTAGGTATGTTTGGGAAAAAATATAATTTAGAAATGCTTTATTCTTAATTGGAATATTAAAAAAGTGGTAAATAAGCTCAGGGCAGTAGTGCACAGGAAAAAGAAGGACACAGGGAAAAGGTAACTACAGGGAAGAAGTGGGAAGGCAGCTTTCACATTGTGGGTAATTACAGTCAGTGTCATGAAACAAAATGTGTATGAACTACTGTATGGAAAATGAGTTTGCTCTGTGAACTTTCACCCAAATCACAATGCAAATTTTTAAAAAAGTGATAAATACACTTTTATTTGTTTAAAAACATATTTGAGTATTTTTTAAATATAGTAACATCTGGACCCATAATGTAACATGTCTACCACTTTGGGAATTAATTTTGTGTTAACTCCTTAGACCTATCAGCTCTTCAGGATGAATGTAAGTAAGGCTCCAAATACCCTTTTCATTCCCTTTCAATGCAGTCATGTACTCAGTCTTAGAAATAAATAATCTATTTTGCTAGATCATTTGCCTGTACTCCAATAAATCATTGTAAAGAAATACTAAAACTCTGTCTCTGTCCTCAAGTTACATACAAGGCAGAAATACGTAATTAAACACTACAAATCTTAAACAGTGAATAAAATTCACTAGAGTATATGTCTTATAGGTCCAAAGGAGGGATCAAGGTAAGGAATTCTTAAGATTATTAATCCCTCTATATTTTGAATTATTCAAAATTTTTGCCATTAGATTACTATTGAATTATTAAAAACATATCCAGAATCAAACCACTTATCATCTCTATTGCCATCACCTTAGGTCAAGCCACCATCATCTCTTGCTATAGGATAGCAGTAGCCTTCTGATTGGTCTCACTGCTTTCACGTTTGTGCATTGTACTGTCTATTTTCAACATAGCCAAAAAAATCCTTTTGAAATCTAAGTTGGACCTTGTTAATCCTCTGTTCAGTCTTCAGAGTGAAATTCAAAGCTCTTTTAAGGGTCTACAGTGCTCTTAACAATGGTTATCCCCCAGCCCCTAATCTTTCTGATTTTATTACTCTGTACCTTGCTGACTCTACTCCAGCAGCAATGGCCCTGCTGTTTTTTAAACAGGCCTACAATGCTCTTGCCTCTGCTATCTACATTCTTTGTTCCTTCACTTACTTCAGGTGTCTGCTCTGGTATTAAAGAGGCCTTTCCTGACCACCTTATATAAAATAGCACCTCTTCACCCTAACTACTTCCTTCTTATTTATCCTGCCTTTTCTCCATTTATCCGTATTTTATTATCCATATGCATTTATCCATATTCTAAATACTTTGTATATGCCAACCCCAATCTCCAAATAAAGGGTAGGCTCTATGTGTTCAGGAACATGGTCTGTTCTGTTCATTTCTGAAATACTGAAATGCCAGCAAAGAATTAGAAGTTATGGTAACTTTTGGTTATTGTAGTTTTCAGCTCAGTGGAAGCAGCAGGATGTTTTAAGACAGTGATTTTCAACCTAAATTCTAGAAGATGTTTACTAATTTTTTTGTTTAAAAAAAGAGTTTTGCAGGCCAAGTAAAAAGCTTGAATATGAGTTTGGAAACAGTCCACTAAAATTTAAATCCAGAAATTATTTTTCCATGTCTCTCTCATGAGAGAACTCATGAGAGAACCATGGGGAAGCAGAGACTCTGTTCTATTTATTTTTGTTTTTGTAGCATTTGAACGTGTCCAGAATGCATACATGCTCAGTTCATGTTTATTGAAAGAGTGGAATCACTTATGCAGATCCATCTTCTTTGCCCTTGAATTTCTTCACTGCCTACTCCATTTTAGGGTTTTTTTTTTTTTTCTTGCCAGGTGTCTTGGATACAGCCATTGTTGAAAGGGGAAGGAATGTGGTATCTGGTTCTCGAGATGGGACAGCACGACTTTGGGATTGTGGGCGCTCAGCCTGTCTGGGAATCATTGCAGACTGTGGTTCTTCGGTCAATGGAGTGGCTGTGGGTGCTGCTGACAACTCCATAAACCTTGGCTCTCCTGAGCATATGCCCAGTGAGTTGATAATGATCTGTCTTTTTGCTTTCTTTTCTTAGGTCCTCTTCATGTTTGCCTTAGTTTCCCCTTTTCTTCATCCTTTCCTGCTCAGTAACTGTTACGTCTGTTTTTGCCATTAGATTACTATTTATTGAATACCTAATATGTTTTCTGTTGCTTTGGGTTCTACAAAGGATGTATCTGTCATAGTCACTGCTTTTGAGTAAGTACAGGCTAATCTAGCAGATGAGACTGATGCCCATTTCATGTCCTTTTGGCTGGAATACATTAGTGATTCTTAATGCAAGTATAATAGGTTTCAGAGGAAGGGAATGATTTAGGTTAATGTAGATGAGAAAAGTGTCACAATAGTAGTTGTCTTGAACCTTGAGGGATGAATTGGAATTGAACGTATAGGAATGGGAAGGATATTTCAAAGTTAGGACCTAGGGCAAGGGTAGAGGGTAGGACCAGTTTACATTTAAAAAAAAAACAAACCTAGAGATGAAATTGAGTGTTGTGTTAAAAAAAAAAGATATATTTTGGAGTGTTAGTCATGGTAAACACTGACTGGTGAATCAGAATGGCGAAGGTCCAAATGGTACAATTTTCACACTTTTCCTTTTTCTAATAACTGATAATTGCTTCTCTATTTCCATGGGACTTTTTTTTTTAATCATCATCTTTACCCCTCAATTTCAACATACTCAGGTGCTCTATATCTTCTTTTAAACTTCCTGTATAAATTCACTGTGCTTCAAGGACTCTTGCTGAAACTGTTGTTGGCCCTGGATGTTCCTTGATTCTTCTTTGGCAATTAACAGATTAATAGGTAGAGCTGTATTTCCCAAAGTGTGATAAATGTGTGGTTAATGGTGAACAAGATTGTTTTTAGTCAGTACACATTTTTAATAGTTATATTTTAATATAAGGATCTCTGGTGACGTAGTCCCTAAGGCATTTGACTGCTAACCAGAAGACTGGTGGTTCAAATCCCCCAGCCACTCCCTGAAAGGAAGGTTGGGCAATCTACTTCCATAGAGATACTGCCTTAGAAACCCAAGGAGGGGTCGCTATGAGTCAGATACGACTCGATGGCAGTTAGTTTTTTTTTTTTAATTTTAGAGTAATAAATATGCACATACATATATCCTATTTAAACTTAAGATTTCGCAGATATTATTTCAAACAAAGGTAAGCTTTTAAAAATTAGTTTATTTGAATTAATGTAATGGAAATATTCTTGTTTTCAGTACTTCTCACTTAGTTACTCTTCAGCCTATTCTTGGATGGTTTTGCCCCAACTACTTGACTGAAATAGCCCTTACAGAGGTCACAGATGACCTCCATGTTGCCAAATCCCCTGTTATTTTTCTTTGCTCATCTATCTGAACTGTTGATGGTATTCAACACATTAAACCTCCCTCCTCAGAACACTTTTATTTCTTGGCACCTGTATTTCCACACTACATTGGATTTCTTCCTCTCTCACTGGCTACTGCTTCTTAGTCTCCTTTTATAAGTTTTATCTATCCTACCTACCTTTAATTATTGGAAAGCCCCACTATTCAGTCCTATACTCTCTACTCTAATTACAACTTTTCCCTAGGTGATCTCATCATGTCCATAGCTTTAAATACTGTATTTAAGCTGGTGATTTCCAAAAATATCCTAAAGCCTAGGCCTCTTAACCTGAATTTTAGACTCTATATCTGATACCCCAAAAACAAAAACCAAACTCACTGCTGTGGAGTCAGATCTGACTCATAGTGACCCCTCCTTGGGTTTCTGAGGTGGTATCACTACGGAAGTAGATCGTTCAACCTTCCTTCCGAGGAATGGGTGGTGGATTTGAACTGCCAGCCTTCTGGTTAGCAGTCAAATGCCTTAGGTACTGCATACCCCAAACTTACCTTGTTTCATAGAGATCTCTCCTTGGGTTTCTGAGGTGTATCACTACAGAAGTAGATTGTCCAATCTTCCTTCTGAGGAGTGGCTCATGGGTTTTTTATATCTGATAAAAACAAACTCACTGCCGTCAAGTTGGATTCTAGTCATAGCATCCCCTCCTTGGGTTTCCGAGGCGGTATCGCTGGGGAAGTAGATTGCCTGACCTTCCTTCCGAGGAGTGGCTGGGGGATATGAACCGCGAGCGTTCTGGTTGGCAGTCAAATGCCTTAGGCACTATGCCACCACAGCTCCCTTCTATATGATAGACACCCCAAACTTACCTTGTCTAACTTGGAGTGTTTTATTTCCTCCTACCCAATTCCCTGTTCCCATCTCAGTAAATGGTACCACCATCTGCCCATTTGGTCAAGCCCAAAGCTTGAGATTCGTTCGTGACTCACTCCCTTTCCTCATGTCCCACGTCACTGTCATCTTTGCCTCCAAAGTGTTTCTAATTTTTGTTGCCTACTTCCCTACCTTTACCTCTACCTCTGTCTTCCTCCCCTTTGTTCCAACACCCTGGTTCAGTCTCTCATATACTACTACTTGTACTATTCTCCTATAGTCCATTCTCCTCAGGGCAAACATTATGGTCATTTAAAAAACATAAATCAAGTCATGACACTGTCCTATTTAAATCCCTCTAGTGGTCTCCTTTTATACATGTAATAAAATCCTAACCTCTTACAACTTACAACAAAGCCTTACACTTTCTACCCTTGTATTGCTTTTCAGCCTCACATCCTACTGCCCTGTGCTAGGCTCAGTCTGGTCCAGCTACAGGCCTTCTGTTCATACTTTCAGTGCAGCAGACTCTCTCTCAGCTCCTGGCTTTTGCCTTGCTCCTCCCTTAATCTGGAATGTATTTCCCAAATCTCTTCACATGACTGACTTCTGTTCATCATTTGAGTCTCAGATGAAAAATTACCCATGTAGAGCCCTTCTGAAGTTAAGGTCACCCTCCCCTACCCAGCCTCCTGCCACTGGGTTAGTTTTGATCATATTTTCCTGTTTTATTTTCTTCAAAGGATTTATCACTGTCTGAGTATTCTACTTGTTTATTTATCTGTGGCTTCTTTCCACTAGAATCCATGTGAGCAAGGATTTTGTTTGTTCCTCACTATTTCCTCAATGCCTTGAATACTGTCTAATACATAATAGTGCCTAATACATAATACATAATACTTATTGAGTATATGAATAAATTTTACTTCCACCAGAGCCTTGAGAGCAAAGATTATTTTGTTCCGTAATATACCCCTGCTTCTAGTATGGTGCCTGTCACATTACAAAGGACTTAATAATTTAACTTGGGTTTATTGAAGTATAATCTACATATAGTAAAACCCTTTTAAAGTGTATAGTTCTATGAGTTTTGACAAATGTATGTAGTTGAATAAATATCACTTAGTAAAGATGTAGAACATAATATGTTTGCTTTATTTTTTAAAAAGTTAATAAGTAAATCACTAACATAGAGCATAGTCAGTAAATAGCCTTTGGTATCTGTGCTTTGTGGGTGCTGCCAGTTGATCAGCCTGGCCCCTTAATGACATAGTGTACCTGTCATGCAGGTGAACGGGAGGTTGGAACAGAGGCGAAAATGCTGCTGTTGGCCCGAGAAGATAAGAAGCTTCAGTGCCTGGGACTGCAGAGCAGGCAGCCGGCAAGTGGTTCCTATAAGACCTTTGAACCTGTTGTTGTTAAGTGCTGTCGAGTCGTTTCCAACTCATAGCGATCCCCTTTGAACCTGAGCCACTCTATTTCTTGGAAAGCTGTTTTGAAAACATTTCCACTTGCTTTCTTCACCTTTTAAGGAAGATGAGTAGGTGAAAGTACAGTGTAGTGATTAAGAGGATGGGCTTGGGAATAAAGGCTACATTTAAATCCCAGCTCATCCACTTAATAATAGTGACACTGGGCAAGTTACTTAACTTCTGTGAGTTTCAGTTTCTTTATCACTAAACATTGTAGTAGGACTTTGCTCATGTTTATGTGATGAGGTTTATGTGATGAGGATTAAATGCTCTACTGCTTTATGGCCTTAAATCACTTTTCCTCTCTGAGCCTTAGTGTGCTAAAGTATAAAATGAAGAGGGTATATAGATGCCCTTTATGGGCCCTTCTGCCTCTAAAGTAATGTGAAAGAAATTCTAAGTAAAGGACTTGTTCATTCAGGGCTCTTGACTGATTAATGACCAGAACGTCTTTTATAGAAGAGTTCATTATATTTTTGTCTTTCATCTGTGCTTTTGCTGGGGAGACTGTGCTCTTGATTAAATTCTGTCTTTGCTGAGATTAGACTTATTAAATCTCCTATCTCCTGTCATCATTATCCAGACAATTTTAATGATTTGATTTGGCCACAGGCTTTGTATTTTCATTTCATCCCATTGCTCTGTTGTGTTGGTGACATTTTCATTTTCAAAGTTTACTCCAGGAGTGTCTTTTTTTTTTTTCTTAATTGTGATTTGGGTGAAAATTTACAGAACAAATTCATTTTCCCTATACAGCAGTTTGCATACACTTGGTCTCATGACATTAACTACAATTTACCACAAGCATCTTTTTTTTTTTTTTTTTTTTAATAAAATTGCTTTTGCACTCTGAATTTCCTTACTGGCTCTTACTTGAAAAGGAAAATTGCATTTTCGTTGATTTGGTTTTTTTTTTTTCTTTTTGGAACATTGGCGGGAGAAATTATCAGTTTGAGCTAATAAAAACCAAACACACTGCCGTGGAGTCAGATCTGACTCATAGGGTTTCTGAGGCGGTATCACTACAAAGTAGATTGCCCAACTGTCCTTCCGAGGAGTGGCTGGTGGATTTGGACCGCCAGCCTTCTGGTTAGCAGTCAGATGCCTTAGGCACTAGGCCACCAGAGCTCCCGTTTAGTAAAATAAATGAAAATCTAATAATTTCTTTTTTAAGATACACAAGGGGAGTTGTGATTCTTTAAATTGTCACTTCACTTAAGTCTATGTCTTTTCCTATAAAGTACCTTCCTTCAAAAGCTTGCTTCAAGGGAAGCATACCCTGAATGTGTGAACTGCCAAGTGTTTCTCAAATGGAGAAGGGTATTATAATGAAAGGAAGGATTTTTAGTGGCAGAGATCTTATAAATGGTTGGTGTGGTATTAGATAAAATGCTCCAGTCCTCAGCCAATCTGAAACCTCAGGAGTGCTTCCTCCTTAGTTGTTGGCGAGTGTTGAGTTTACTGCTCCAGAATGCATAAAGGGGATAGAAACAAAAATCTTTAAAAATAGTAAAAGTTTCCTTTTATGGTTTTATTTATTCCTGGAAATAAATTAATCTTTAAACAGCTTTTTTGGCTCCTCTTTGTCCCCAGGTGTTCCTCTTCATTGGCTCAGATGCCTTCAACTGCTGTACTTTTCTTTCTGGCTTCTCACTATTGGCTGGGACACAGGATGGAAACATTTATCAGTTGGATGTGAGGAATCCAAGGTGAGTCACCATCTATTTGCCTGATGCAGGTCTTCTGCAGAGTGGAATTTTTTTATTGTCTTTAATAGTTTTTTGTAGGATTTTAACTTTACCCTAGCAGAGACATGGCTATTGATCAAGGATATATTTTTCTTTTTTATTCCAGTGTGAATTATCTGGTTGTTCTTATTATTGCTAGATCCTTTTAAAAAGTAATTTGATCATACTATCATAATTATCCTGTTATAATGATTGCTTTGGAAATTAAGCTTAAATAATGAAATAACATTTCATCAAAAATGTTTATCTAAAACACTCAATTTTAAGGAGCTCAGCAGTTACTGTTTTGGTGTTAGATTTGAGCTGGCCTAAGAATAGTTACATTTAGATTACATAAGCCAGCTCTATTTCTTTATTTATTTTTAATAAATAACCTAAGATAGGCCTAATCTTGGTCTTAAAGATACTCATAGATAATAGTCACAACCCTCTGTTCTAGGATTTAACGATCTCTGTGATTCTCTCCCTTCTTTTATTTTCTTCCTTTGTTCAACTAATATTTATTGAATGATTCCTGTGGGCTCCAGGCTTTGTGCAGGGCATTGAAAAACAGAAATAAAAAATAAACTCTCCCTTTGAGACATATCTTGTGGTAAAGAAAGACATGAAACTTCATTGTGGTGCTAACAGGGATATACTCAGAAATTTGAGGAAGCACAAGGAGAGGGAAGGAGATGAGACTCCCTCACCAGAGAAATGAGGCTTTGATTGGATCTTGTCCAGTAGGAAGCTACCACGTAAAGAAGAGAAAGACCTTCTCTAGGTCAAAAAACATACAAAAACACGGGGGCATGTAAAAGCAGGTCACTTTTAGGGATCTCTGCAAGGTTTGATATGATAGGCATGTAGTATGCAGATGGGACATTAGTGAGAAGTGACACTAGACAGGAAAAGAGGAGCCTGCTAAGTGTAAGGTCTTATATACTATATTGTCCTAAGGAGTTTGGATTTATCTCAAGAACAGTGAAGAAATTCTATGTAGAAGGTCAGTCACTTACATCTTTTTTTCTATGTTTTAAATTATATTTATACTTGCTTTTGCCTCCATAGGGAAAAGTATCCATAGATACAGAGAATATTTTAATCCTATTATAAAAATCACTTGACTGCTAACCAGAAGGCTGGCGGTTCAAACCCACCAGCCAGCCACTCCTCGGAAGGAAGGTTGGGCAATCCTACTTCCATAGTGATACTGCCTCGGAAACCCAAGGAGGGGTTGCTATGAGTCGGGGCCGACTCGACGGCACATAACAACACATAACAACAACAACAATTATAAAAATCACCCTTATGTATATTAAAATGATTCTCACTCATCTTTCTCTTTTTTCATTTTTTTATTGTCATCCTAATAATTTTAATATTTCTCAACTAGCCTTAATTCTACCCTTAAGTGAAAATGTTAACATTTTCTATCTAACTTTGTTAGGCCTTCCCTAAAAAATGCGGTCTTGATGTGGTGATTTAGTTCATTCAGCTCAGTGACATATTTAAAGATATATTTAGATTCATGTTTTGAATATCTGGAAGAGAATGTTCTAGCCAGAGTGGAAACCTTTGTTAAAAAATTTTATTGTGGTAAAATTGTTGTTAGATGCTGTTGAGTCATCTGTGACTCATAGCAACCCTGTGTACAACACAATGAAATATTGCCCAGTCCTGTGCAAACTCCACAATCCCGGCTATACCTGAGCCCATCGTTGTAGCCACTGCCCATCCATCTTGTTGAGGGCCTTTCCCTCTTTTGTTGACCTTCCACTTTACCAAGCATGATCTCATTCTCCAGGAATGGTCTCTTCTTACAACATGACCAAAGTAGGTGAGATGAAGTCTGGCCATTTTCGCTTCCAAGGAGCATTCCAGCTGCATTTCTTCCAGGACAAAGTTGTTAGTTCTTGTAGCTGTTGTTGTTGTTATGTGCCATGGAGTCAGACCCGACCCATAGCGACCCCTCCTTGGGTTTCCGAGGCAGTATCACTACGGAAATAAATTGCCCCATCTTCCTTCCGAGGAGTGGCTGATGAGTTTGAACCACCAGCCTTCTGGTTAGCAGTCAAGTGCCTCTTGTAGCAGTCCGTGGTAAATTCAGCATTCTTTGCCAACACCACAACTCGAAAGCATCAACTCTTCTTCGGTCTTCCTTATTCATTGTCCAGCTCTCATATGCATAGGAGGTGATTGAAAATACTCTGGCCTGTGTCAGGCGTACCTTAGTCCTCAGGGAGACATATTTGCTCTTCAGCAGTTGAAAGAGGTCTTTTGCAGCAGATTTGCCCAGTGCAATATGTCGTCTGATGTCTTGACTGCTGCTTCTATTGGTGTTGATTGTAGAACCACATAATACAAAGTCTTTGACAACTTCAATCTTTTCTCTATTCATCATGATGCTGCTTCTTGGTCCAGTTGTGAGGATTTCTGTTTTCTTTATATTGAGGTATAATCCATACTGTAGACTGTATTCTTGTCTTCATCAGAAAATGTTTCAGGCCATCCTTATGCTCAGCAAGCAAAGTTGTGTCATCAGCTTATTGCAGGTTGTTAATGATTCTTCCTCCAATCCTGATGCCGCATTCTTCATATAGTCCAGCTTCTCAGATTATTTGCTTAGCCTAGAAATTGAATAAGTACAGTGAAAGGATACAACCCTCATGCACTTCCTTCATGATTTTAAACCATGCAGTGTTCCTTTGTTCTGTTTGAACGACAGCCTTCTGATCTCTATATAGGTTCCTTATGAGTACAATTAAGTGTTCTGGAATTCCCATTCTTCTCAGCATTGTCCACAATTTGTTATGATCCACACAATTGAATGCTTTTGCATAGTCAATAAAACACAAGTAAACATCTTTCTGGCATTCTTTGCTTTGAGCCAAGATCCATCTGAAAGCAGCTATGATATCCCTTGTTCCATGTCCTCTTCTGAATCCAACTTACACCTCTAGAAGTTGTCAATATACTGCTGCAACCATTTTTTAATTATCTTCAGTAAGATTTTACTTGTGTGTGACACTAATGATATTGTTCTATAATTTCCACATTCTGTGGGATCACCTTTCTTTGGAATGGGTACAAATATGGATCTCTTCTGGTCAGTTGACCAGGTAGCTGTCTTCCAAATCTCCTGGCATAGCAGAGTGAGTGCCTTCAGCACAGCATCCATTTGTTGAAGCATCTCAGTGAGTAGCCTATCAATTCTTGGAGCCTTGTTGTTTGCCACTTCTTTAAGTGCAGATTTGACTTCTTCCTTCAGTACCATTGGTTCTTGATCGTATGCTACCTCCTGAAATGAATGACATTGACCAGTTTTTTTGGTACAGTGACTCTGTGTATTCCTGCCATCTTCTTTTTTTTT